CGTTTTTCTGTCGTTTTTGAAAATTTTGGCACAGAAACAACGAGTTCATCATGATCTGTTGGATCTATAAATTTCTGGGTGAATAAAATACTGGACCAAAAAATTCCACACAATACCATTCTAGTACAGGGGTGATATCTTGTGGTACGCTTTCATACATATGGTATGCTCTTATTTTAATACAAATCAATACCACCATGGTATAGATTGGTAAAAAAAATGTCTCAATTTTTGTTCAAAAAATATCAAACCATATATTATATTGAAGAGCACAATTAATCTGATTTATCTGTGAAAATAAATTTAAATTCCGACTTAAAAAGAGAGAAAAATCGTCCGTTAAAAATTAAACGAAAAAAGATTAAAGGCTTTCATGAGAGAGAGAAGAGTGTTGATGTGGCGGATTCTGATTGGGTTACTCGCTTACTCATGGTTACTCACCATAAGGTTACTGATGGGATCCGCTCCTCAGTACTATCGATAAGACCACCCACAATGTGTGTTGTTGGTAAAGTGGAAAAGTGGGGAAATTTTCTCACAATGAAGTAGGAAAAAGTGGAGAAAGGAGAAAGGAAGGGAAATCGAGGGGGTTTTCCACACATACACGACAAAAAGGGGGGAAGGGGAGGGGGTGGGGCGGATTTTTTTTTCCTCATTTAAGGCTTTGTTTGTTTTGGGTTGTGTTTGTCCCCAACGGACAGAATCGATCAACGACAATATTTTTCAACGACCACTTTTTAACGACCATTTTTCCAACGACTATATTTTTCAGCTCTATAAATAAAACTCATTCTTCACTTTCTGTCAACACTTCTCACATTCTCTTCGTACCATCCAAATAAATAATTATCTTCTTCCTAAACTCTCTATAATCATGGCTTCTTCCGACAACAATCACAATCCGAATTACACAACACCTAAAAACCTTGTTTTAGGCAAGGCTTGGATGGAGGTTTTGCAAGATCCTATCATCGGTCATTATCAATATTCACCAACTTTCTGGTCGACAATCTGATACCTATATTCTGCATATGGCTTTGCCGTCATCTGTACCGATGACGCCTTGAAGACTCGATGGAAAGTTATCAACCATGCATGTTAGAAGTCGAATGCGGCATTGGGGAGTGCAAATTCTCATACTCCTAGTGGATCTAATAAACATGACGTGGTTAGTCAATTTCTAATACATCTTAATTTAATTAATAACATAATTTTTAATATTTCAATTACTAACCGTGTGTTTCATTATTTACTTAATTGTTTAATTTTTATTTTTAACTTATCTAAATTATTTTAATACTACCGATTGTCTAATTTTTGAATTTATAAATTTTAACAAAGACTATTTATAAGGAGGACATGAGCAAAGATTGGAAGTTGGAAGAATGATGGACACTACTCCAAGAATGTCCAGGGTATATGCAACAATTTTATGCTCCTGTTGCACCCATTCCACAAATGGATGGATTCCCATCGCCTATGTCAAACGACGAAGATAATAGTCCCGACCCTCAAGCAACTACTGCTCCAAGAGTGCTCAACCATCCTGATGGTAGAGATCAAACGAAGAGGAAGAAAAGAGGAGGTGATTCTCCTGGGATGGATGTTTTTCAAAAGATCTTGGTGGACATGGCGGCAAGTTCGGCAACACATGCAAGATTGGCTATCAGTAGGAAGGAAAGTGAGAAGGCGAAGGAAGCAAGGGGAAAAAGTAGATACAAATGATAAATGATACTTCAGGATCTTTCTCAATTGGATCCTCAACAAAGAGCATGGTACCAAATTTCAACGAGATCAGATTATGTTTGCGTACCAACCAAGTCAGAGTTCTACACCAACCGGGGGTCTAGCAGTAGCCCATTTGATGATAGTTTTCACAAATGTAGACCACTCGGGATAAATGTCGTCAGCCAAGTAGTAACATTGATCATAATTTGTGCCATTTTATTTATACCTGACTTTTGGAAGATTTCCTCTGACTACTTCATCAAACAGCTGGGAGACTCCAAGCGTGCTTATGTCATTGTTTGATTGGGACTTCCGAAGAAGGCATGCCAAATCCATGTGTCATTTGACGCTACACCTTCCAGGACAATGGTTGGCGTCCCTTTGTATCCGGTATATTGTCATTGCCACACCATTGGACAATTTTTCCACTCCCTGTGCATGCAGTCAATCGAACCAATCATACACGAGAAGCCACGATGGTCACTATGATGGAGAAGGCGGCGAAGATCCTCCACATTTGGTGCTCGTAAGTACTCAGGGCCATAGATGCAGATTATCTCATTACAAAACTTCCATATGCACTGCAGTAAAGTGGTCTCACCCATATCAAATGTCTCATCTAAGGAGTCACATCCATTTGCAAGAATCCAGAGGGAAGTAGTAAGCTATTGTTCTGGGGAGAATGACAGGCGACCAAAAGCATCTTGGCCTGGCTGGAAGTAGGATTCGTGTTGAACAACGCCATTCATGACTCGGTTGAACAAGGGTAGGAGCATCTGGAATCTCCTTCTGAAGAACCTAGCATCATATGTCATATTGGGAACGAAATACTACTGCATCAAGCATCGGTGTGCTTCCACCCTGTTACGCCTCACTAATATACGTGGATGTGAATGATGCCGAGATGAATCTGTTGGCTCTTGAAACAGAAATGCTCCTACTGTCACCATCATCTATTTACGATTGCGGTCAAGCTGACACTCATACTCTCATTACCTATCATCAGCTTCCTGCTGCCTCTCATCAGCTTCTCTATTAGGAGAACTCATGATGAAAAAAGTGGTTTGGGTGTGTAGAGAGAAATAAGAAGTAGAGAGAATAAAGAAAGTTTAATGCTGAGATGTATAGATTGACAAAGTTTGGTCTTCATTTATAGAAACACGAAACGATTCTCCAGCAAATATTGACAAACTGGATGAACAGTTGATGACACAACTCAATATGATTAAAGTTGCATGAAGAGTTGAGGGCACATGTCATTCTGATTAAAGTGGCATGAACAGTTGATTTTACCACTCAATATGATCAAAGTTGGCAAAATAATTGATGGCATCACTCATTTTGTGAAACGTGTGATGAGTTATGGTCATCCCGTATTATTGTGATTTCGTCATTGATAACGTTATATTTAATTAGTGATAAAATATTATGTCCAAATTAAAAAAAAAAAAGTATATCAACATGTTCGTATTAACTAATTATCACTAACTATGTAAAAATAATGATCATTATATAAAAATAAAGTAATAAATCAACTATAGATTGATTTTACTAAAAATGTGCTCAACCAATTATCCCCCCCTCCCCCCCCCCCCCCCCTCTCCACCCCCACATTGTAACCGAACCCTTCTCCTCCTCCCCTCTTTTTCCTTCCCCCCCCCCCCCCCCCCCCCCCTTTCCTCTCACACATTGACCACCTTTTTCCTCTCACACATTGTGGGTGGTCTAAGCCCCAATATGAGGGACATAGACCAACTCTGCAATCAACGGATGCAACATTTTTTTGTTCATTTCATTATTATTATTATTATTATTATTATTATAACAAATAAAAAATTAAATTCCCTTTCCTTTCGTTTCCTTTTCTTTCATTTTCTTTTTCATGTCTTTTCCTAGTTAGAAATAAAGGAGGTTTAAGCTACGGTCTAGGGTAGGGTGTATAACCACTAGATATACATATTTGTACATCAGACATAACCTCTTGATTTTGAGTAGCGTTCAGATTTAAGAAATTTTTAAAAAAAATTAATATAGTTTTCCTACTTTTTAAAACCATGTATCTCCAGTTTTTCATTAACTAGTTTTCTCCGACTTTCCCGGAGCCAGGAAATCGCCAACCTAGGGTTCGCTCGTGACGCAAGCTGATGGCGGCGGCAGGTACGCCAGCCGCTACGCCCCCACCGCCGGAGGAAGCCAGAACTCCTGATTCATTGGGTGGTCTTCGCAGGCCGCTGAAGTTTCATCTTCTCCAGATGGAAAGAAAGATCGCGAGGTACAACAACTGAAGAAACGAGTTAGACCATTGGATCTGAAAAACGGGAGTGATATGTAGGACGAGGTGGTAGTCAAGGATATGACGGAGGAGGAGACGCAGAATGATGCCAGGGCGGAACCTCGACACAGCACGACTGGTCTGCAGTCGAACACGCCACCGCCACAGCCACCGCTTGTGTCTTCGGGCGTGGGTCGCAAGAAGCTCTTCAACGAAGCAGTTAGGGAGGAAACGAGGTATGTGGAGGACTCGGATACGGAGGAAGAGGTGGTGGAGATGATGTTTCCCGCTTCCCTACGATCTACTTTTCTCCGGACGAATGGCACAACTACTGGCGATCATCCCTTATGGTGAAGGTTCTAGGTCGTTCTTACCCGTATCCTATCATGGCAAAGCGTCTGAACATGTTATGGACACGGAATGTGACGATACAGATAATAAACAGGCCAAACAACTATTTCTTTGTTCGGTTTACTAGCAAACTGGACTATGAACTTGCTCTTACGGGTGGACCTTGGCTAATCGGGGATAGCTACATTACGATTCAAAAGTGGAAGAAGGGGTTTAACCCAAGGACCTGCCAGATTCAATCTACCTCTGTATGGATCAGGTGTCCAGACCTACCCATTGAGCTTTACCATCCAGAAGAAGTGTTGTGCATAGCTAAGAGAGCTGGTACACCGATCCGAATTGACAGGGCAACAGAGCTGGGGGCTAGGGGGTTTTTGCCTGTGCATGTATCGAGGTCGATCTGACGAAACCTCTGCTATCAAAGTACAAGGTGGAAGGAGTGGAATACGAGATCAAGTATGAGGGACTGGGGAACATTTGCTTCGATTGTGGTATTTATGGACACTCTAAAACCCATTGCCCTACACTTCACATGAATGATCAACAAAGCAACGAAACAGCCATCGTACAAACCCAAGGAAGGAAGCACGAAGAAGCGTATGGGGATTGGATGATTGCGAAACGGAGGGACCGTAGACCGAACAAAAGGATGGAACATGGGAAGGTGGGAGCTTCGGGACAAGGCAATATTGTCGAAGGTCAAGCTCGATCAGGCTCTCGCTACAATGTCCTCAGCCAGGAAGAGGAGACAACTGCCTCATCTCAACAGAGGGTAAACCTGGATAGGAGCCATAAGGAAGCAAGTCGGGAGAAGTTCAACCAGCAGCGTTCCACTACTGCCACCCCGGCACCAAAATTGCACCAAGTATGGGTAGAAAAATCAGCGGCTCACAACAGTAGTCTGGGGGAGACAACGGGCCAAAAGACGAGTGCGACACCGAGAAGTATGCCCCCGACCCAAGAAGCCCCCACGCCAGCGGAACCGAACCAGACTGAGTCCTCGTTCGTCGAACATGTCACTGCCGCGGACAGGGAGAAGTGCTCGACAAAGAATTTAACGGGTGGCAATCTAACAGAGGGGCATGCAGGAGCCAGAGTGGAGAATCGCAATCAGCTGGGGGACACGCCTATCGCCATGCAAGCCATGCACACAAACCCATCGAATGAGGAACCAATTTCTATGAGCGTGGACTTCGAAAACCAAGCAGTGAGTGGGAACCGGGATATTATCCCTACGGGGGTGCCCCCAACCTCGCTCTAAGTAACCCAAGATCACCATGTTGATCCCGACGGTTAAATGGATTTGAACATCTTTACGTGGAACAGTAGGTGACTCACTTCTACTGTCACTCTAGAAATTGGCCAAGTGTAACCACTTCCTAAAGCGTAGTATAGCGGGTTTGGGTTTTAATGTCAACCCGGGTCCTAGATTTGATGACTACTCGGTGAATTCTCGTTATCTAGCAATGAATCTTTAGTGCAAGTCTAAACTAACAAACAAACAAACAAAGCAAGTAAATGGTTGTTTTCAGGTTAAGAGAGGTCACCTGGATATGGTTCCCCCTAGACTGCAGTTAAGCCGGATTGCAATTACCAAGTTCAGTTTCTATGATAGTTATACTGCAGAAAGTTGACTCGACTCTACTGTCACCCTAGGAATTGGCCAAGTGAAACCACTTCCTAAAGTGTAGTATAGTGGGTTAGGTTTATATGTCAACCCGGGTCCTAGATCTGATGACTACTCAGTGAATTCTTGTTATCTAGCAATGAAACTGGAATGCAAGTCTAAACTATCAAACTAACAAAACAAGTAAACGGTTGTATTCAGGTTAAAGAGGTCACCCGGATATGGTTCCCCCTAGACTGCAGTTAAGCCGGCTTGTAATTACCAAGTTCAGTTTCTATGATAGTTATACTGCGGGAGGTTCTCGAACAGCCTGAAGTCTCGACTAAAGGTCTTCAGACCCTCTCAATCTGAGTCTCTAGCGGGCGACTAACCTCCACCGGAGTAAACAGATTGAGGCCCTAAGAACAAAACCTCCACTACCGGAGTAAATCCGGTACAGAATAGTGAGTTGGTTCCTAGACTAAAGTCACCAACTCCCTACCTTCAATCAAGGATACTCTATTAACCTAGGCAGATATTCTCATTCTAGGTTAAAGCAGAAACAACAGGAATTTGATCAGGATTCAAGTCATTCAATCATTCAAACCTCAATGGAATATAATCAATCATAGAATCAGTACTTGGGTTCATACAATCAAACCTAACATACAAATCTAGGGTTCTCCATACCCAGATGAATGGGAGAACTACTCCATGGAGAAGAAAGCAAAAGCAGAATCAGACGCGGAATTCATATTGTGAAGGATGGATTCTACTCCTGGACGTTGATCGGCACTTCTCCAAGCTCAAACAAGCCTCCAATGGTGTTGAAGATCAAGCTAGGGCGCTTGGAGACTCTTGTTCGTCACTTTCTCTCTCTAGGAATCGTTTTCTCTCTCAAAAACTCGAATCCCCTTCTGTTTGGCTGAAAATCTGCTTAAAAAGGCATCAGTGGCCAAAGCACGGTCGAGGGCACGGCCGTGCTTTGCCTGAGCCTGCCCGTGTCTCGGCCAGTGTTAATTACACGGCTAGCAGTTGGTGAGAAACACGGTCGTGCTTCGCGTTGGACACGGCCGTGCTTTTGTGGAACACGGCCGTGCTTTGTCTCGGCCCTGCCCGTGTAATCAACTCAGCTCTTGGCATAAAAAGCACGACCACAGGAACACGGCCGTGTAATGCCTTAGGTGTGCCCGTGTTTTGGCCCCAGCTTGACGAAATGACCTCTGAATGCCCCGAAACTTGTGGTTAGCCTTCCCTTTGACGCCTGGGACCTGAAATATGACAAAATAGCACAACCCGGCGTAAAATAGGCCAAAACACACGACTATGCCCCTCAAACGGATAAGAACTAGGGGCGCAAACATGTGCAATTACATCGTTATCAAACTCCCCCACACTTAACCGTTTGCTTGTCCCCAAGCAAACCTAACTCAAACCAATGCAACTCTCCAGACCTCTATAGCAACAAACAACCCAGATTGTAGGTAGAGGACTTCCTAGATCATTTAGCAACTTACGAGGTCAACCGACGCACAAGTCATCTCATAGCTTCTTCGGCGAGAGCACTAGTATCGAGTCGGCATCATGGCAAATAGTGAACAGAGGACAAATGAATTGTGGATGGAGAGATTCTCAAAAACAAAAGACCATGGACTCACATTTTTCAAGGTGCTCTATTTTCCTCTTAAATATGGTTGGAACCCCCTTTTTTTCCTGTTTTGCTTGTTTTCTGATATTTTTCTTTTCTTTTCTTTTTCAAGGGTCCCAACCTGCTCTTACCGGCCATGCCAGGAGCGAATGTCTCGAGCCTCGTGCGGGGGAAAGACATGTAAGGGGGCTGGAGGTAGTAGGTGGAAATTGGGAACGAATTCCCGTCTCCCCTTACACACTTTCGCCCTATTCGCACGGGAGACGTTTATTTGGAAGCACATTTTCGAGCACCTGTTATTTTCAAAACAAGATACAAGAGTCCACGACCGGTAGAGAATCCACAACACCACACAATTCAAGGGTCCTAAGATCACTAATTCACTCAATCATCCAACACAATATGAAGAAGAAATGAGATTTCTTAAATGCATCAACATCCTCCATAGTGCTACACTACCTCCCTAGGTTGCATATTACTATAAAGACTGTCAATTCAAAGCATACTGAGCAGGCAATTGCACGGAAACACGTACTTGGAGCCCTCAAATTTAAAAATTTGGACAGTGGACTAGGCTCCAAGTACACAAACAGATCTAATGCAGTCAAAAGATAAACACCCCCCCACACTTAAGATCGACATTGCCCTCAATGGAGAAGACGGGGAACGATGTTACCGGTATGCATGGACTGCAGGAGACTGGAAGCGGGCCAGTCGAGTGAAGCGGACTGGAGAGGGGACTAGTCAAGACACGCACAGCGAGAGGAAACCAAAGAGCTCAACACAGTATGTTAGGTCCAATGGTCAGCCCAATAAAACATCATCCAAACCAAAAGAAAAACAAACCAAACCCAAACCGGGTTACAATCCGACTCAAAACACAAGAAAGAAAATCAAACCGTGGTGGGGTTGCCTCCCCACAAGCGCTTCTTTACCGTCTTTTAGCTGGACGCCCATGGTGGATACTCAGGGCGGTGTAGGAACAGGTGCCTCCAAGAGCGGATCCACGTCGCTCTTGAGGTACAGTTTCAGGTCGTGGCCATGCACCCGACGGATGCGACCACCATCATAAGTTAGCTCGACCTGCCCATCTGGCAAGATGCAGGCGAGTGAGTACCCGCACGGCCAGGGTGTTCGTGGTGTAGGAGGTGGGACCAGCTCATAGTGGTCTCCACTCTTCTTCCGTGCAGGCTTAGCAACCTGCTGCTTCGGCCGCCACTCCTCCTTGAGATTTTTGTTCGGAGGCGAGGCTGGATGGAGTGGCGGCGAAGGAATGATAGGAGGGTCCTGCAAAATAGGAGGTGCAGAAGGATACACGACAGGCTCGTGTACTTGATCAGAAATGGCATGCACAGGGGTGACAGCAATCATAGCACAGTGATCAAACTCAGTCACAGAGAAAGTAGCCTGTTCATTCCCAGCACGCAGGATCAATTTACCATCATGCACATCAATAAGTGCCTTGGCGGGGGCGAGAAATGGCCTACCTAGAATCAAAGGCACATCCACATCCTCATGTATATCAAGAATAACAAAATCAACAGGATATGTGAATGCACCTACTTTAACAAGCAGATCCTCAATGATACCCCTAGGATGCACGATAGAACGATCAGCTAACTGAATGCTCATCCTAGTAGGGCTAAGTTCACCTAGGTCTAGCTTTTTGTACAACTTATATGGCATGACATTAATGCTAGCGTCTAGGTCCGCCAAGGACTTGCCTACATGCATGCTGCCAATAGTAAGAGGGATAGTAAAACTCCCTGGATCCTGGCGCTTCTCGGGCAGCTTGTTCTGCAGGATAGCAGAACACTCCTCGCTCAGCATCACTGTCGAGAGATCCCCAAGTTTCTTCTTGTTGGTGCATAGATCTTTCATGAGCTTGGCATACTTGGGCATCTTCGACAGTGCCTCCACGAACGGTAAGCTGATGTTGAGCTGCTTCAACATTGCCATGAACTTGGCAAACTCAATCTCCAGCTTGTCTTTGTGTAGGCGGGTGGGGAAGGGAAGCTGGGGTACATGCTCCTTAACCACTGGTTGTGGCTTGGGAGCAGGGGCTTCCTTCTCCACCCGCACTTCTGCATCGTCGGCTGGAAGTGCTGAAGCAGGCAGTGGTTCCTCCTGTCTGGCCGGGACAGGATCAGCAGATATGGTCTTACCGCTCCTGGTAAAAATGGCATCCAGCTACTGATGCTGGTGAGGATCTCGAGGATTCGGGACAGTGGTGGCAGGCAAAGTCCCCAATGCCCTAGCGGTGTTCTGGCGGGCCAAGATGCCCACCTGGGTCTGCAGATCCTGCAAAATGGCACCCTGGTTCCTCTGACCTGCCTCCAGTGAGGCTACACTCTGGTCCAACCTCGTGATAGTCGCCTGAGTGATCGTCATGAATGAAGCTAGAATGTTTTCCAGCTTCGTCATCCTGTCATCTGGGGCTGGAGCGACTGCTGGCTCGGCAAACTGGCGCTGGGGTTGCTGGAATGGCTGCCCCTGCCTAGGCTGGTAGGGCTGCTGCTGTGGGTCTGGCCCCTGGCGAGCCTGGAAGGGCTGCCTCTGCTGAAAACCACCTGCTGGTGCTGGGAAACCAGGTGGTTTAGTGGTGTTGCTGCTCCAAGCGAAGTTGGGATGCTGGCGCCACCCTCATTATATGTGCTACTGTATGGATCGAGGCGCCTCGCATTGGCGATGAAGGCCAACTGCTCCTGGGGTGTGGTAGACTCCCTCATAGCCTGGCAGTCCTCCACTAGGTGATTGGAGCTCTCACACCACTGACACTGAGCAACTGGAGGTGTAGCCAAACCTCTGCCTGGATTAAGACTGTTGGGCTGCTTCAATGTCTGCACTAGCTCAGCTACCTGCTGCTCGAGCCCGGATCTGGTCTCCATGGCGTGCACACCACGGTCCCTGGAATGTCTTCCTCTGCTGCTCTGCCCCCAGGAATGATCTCTGGCAGCCAATGTATTAATCATCTGGTTCAGCTCGGGTGGAGTCTTAGTGAGAACAT